GGCTGATGAAGCAGGTGCCTTTCGGCTGCATCCTCGCCGTTTTGCCTTCCCCTCGCGCCTTTCCCCATCCCTCGCACCCTTCCCCATCCCTCCCCACCTCCTCTGTCCCACCCGTTCGTCCCTGGAACCCGCTGAGCTGCTGGACCCGTCCTCTGGGTCCTTTCTGAGCCCCAAACCCACTCGTGGGCCCCGGGAAATTGCTCAGGCGCTGGTCGCCTCTTTCACCTTGTACTTTACCCCGGGCGTCCCCTTGCGATGGGGGAAGGAGGTGTTGCTCAGAGAGCTGCATGGAAAATGTTCGGGGTTGTTTGTTTTCGGTTTCTTTTTTTTTGTCTTCTTCTTCTTGTCATCTTTGAAATAAGTTGGTTTTGAGAGAAGGTTGATGTTTTTTCTGTTTGTAGAACTTATACACAACACAGCGTTTCTTCTTTGAATGCAGGTGATTCACCAAATGACCAAAAAAGCCCTGAAGAGGGGTCTGGGAAGAAAAAAGAGAAAAAGTCTGCAGCCTTGAACATCAGAGGTACAGCACGGGAGTATACTGATAATATTATACTAACTTCAAACACTTTCTCATTTCCATTTCATGTTTTTAGTTATTCGCTCCCCCCGACATCGGTTAGAAAGGGACCAAAATGACAGGACTCTTCTGTCTACATGGACCCAGTTATCTTTAGCAGAAAGGTTTGGGTTGTGTGATGTAGCAGAGGCAGTAACAAAAATAGTGCAATGCTGATTTGGCTCTGAGCGTGCTCACATTTTCATTTTAATGTTTTAGAAGAGTGCGGCTGAACTTTTTGGAAAGGAGGCAAAGCCTGTTACATGAAGCTCAAGTCCCTAGGGGCCTCGCAGGAAGGTGGAGCAAGTAGCTGTGAGGCGCTTCTCTTGAGTTTCGCTGCTGTAATAGTCGAGCAGTTTTCAACTTTCAAATGCTTTTGGGCAGAAGACAGAATTTCTTTAAATCGTGAGGTTGATAATGTTCTGTTGTCAGCATGAGGGAAAACGTGCTGTAACTGGTGCTTCAGCACAGTGTTTTTCCAAGTCCTTGAACTATGAACCTATCCCTGAGAGACTCTGTGACGGGATCAGCTCTTCTTTGTAATTTTCCAGGTGTCTGCATATCTGTGGAGTGAAACAGGATAGCTACTTTTAGGTATAAATTAACCAAGTCTCTCTCTTCCTCTCTCTTCCTCTCTCTGTAGGTGTTGGTATGCACGCGCGTTTACATACCTATTCTGAGCAGAGTTAGCAGGCAAAAGCAGTTATCTTTGAGATTGTCCCCAAGGAAAGGACTGTCAGTAAGCTGAGACAGAATGGCAGTTTCAGGCTTCTTATGGCCACTGTCAACATCTGATAGTCCTCCAAAGTCGTGTCAGTTGGCATCACATGAATTCACTTTAGGAAGTTGACATGGCAGCCAGGCACCTGGGTTTGTGGGTTTTTTTTGGTGTGTGTCCAATCTAACTGTCTTTTAAAAGTTTTTTCAGAGTTTCACAGATGTGTTTGTAAGGGGAAACTTCAGAAATCAAACCGTATGCTCGAGTCACAACACTTTTCTTAATGTCTAGAGACTGATGTCACTGGATATTAGGGCATTGTATTCGTAAGCTTATTGGTGCAGGAAAAGCAAACTGGCTTTCAGGGATGGAGGCGAGGAGAGTAAGAAATCAATGAGTGTATTTTACAGAAAGCTTTACTTGCCTGAATGACAGTGCTTAGGCATAATGATGCTGGAAACATTTTTTTGTGTGTGTGTCAGTTATTTTAAGGTACCTATTGTCTTTGATTTTAAAAACAGAGAATTTTTTCTTGAAGCACTACTTTAGTATGTCATCTTTACAAAATGTATTTTTATTGCCTGTTCAAATATTCTTTGCTTCTGTAGCTGATGCTACAGATACGTGTTTTTAAAATTCAGATTAAAAATCTTATGTTTTTCCTTTGAAGTTAGTTAGATAGCTACTCTTATTTCATAATCGCTGGGCAAAAATTTCTATACAGTATAGAATCAGAGCCTCCCTGAAAAACATGGTTGAACAAAATAGATTGTCAGAGGAACTGCTTCCTTGATTTTAAAAAGTTATTCCTTTTACTACTTGAGCATATGAAAAGTATTGCAGACTTTTCAATACAAACTTTTGGAAGCTACACATTGCCTATGGTCTTACTGTATTGACTTTATTTAATAAAAAATTATCTTCAGTTGTATCTTATAACCATAGCCTTTGGGGATCAATAGGGAAATGGCTTCATTTCTGTCTAAGGCCTCATTATGTGATGTCTAGTCAAGACATACATATTAATGATGTTGGTAAAGTAAAATAAGCATTTTTTTTCAAATGCTATATTCTTGATTAATAATTTATCAGAATTCTGACATAGTTGCTTTTTATTTATTCGGAAGAAGACTTTCTGAAACATTCTCCTGTTCTTTTTAAGCTGTGCTCTCTAGCTGGTTGCCTTGGCAATTGCATCCTGCCTGTCCCCCTTGCTAGTGCAGTAGCTGATAGCCCATACTGAATCAGGATTACTTGTAAATGAAAAGGAAACACTGCTACACTGTTAGGAGGAGTAAAACCCCAGTGGGAGTCTGCCAAATGGGGCAGAAGACGCCTGACTTCAGCAGAAAGAGCTGGACTTGCTGGAAGCTTGTACTTTCTTATCTGACCCAAGTGGTTTGGAGAAACTTCAGTGGCTGTTGCCTTTGTTTCTCATGCATGGAGCTGGCAAGAAACAGCAGCACAGGCACAGCTCTAGGTCTAATCCAGTGTCCAGCATCACCAGAGAGTCAAAATTCTTTGCTGTGTTCTTAAGGAGTTTCAGAGGGAGCCTTTTACAGCTTCTCCAGCCCAGAGGAGGTGAAGCTCTTGAAACTGCTTGTCATAAGGATGTTGAAAGGAGATGGTCCATTTTATTCTCTCACAGTCTCCGAATAAAAAATAGTGACAAATAAATTGACTTCATGTGTTTGGAGATGTTTTGAATTAGGCATGGGTTGGAATGAAATCTGAGTCTGAACAGCAAAACCTGACAAAACTGGAGTGTCTTTGGGCAATGAGAGGAAGAGGGAAGATTACGTACATAAAGTAGTTAAAAGAAAAAAAGACGATGAAAGAAGTTCTTTGGTTATTGTAACTTTACAATAGCAAAAAGACTACTTTCATCATTGTAGTTGAAAGGGCAGCTAGAAATCTGTTATTACAAGAGTCTTTACCTTTCATGTGAAAACAAACCTATAAATGTAGAAAGTGGTACCCAGTGCTCCTCTCAATTTAGAGTAGTGCAGGCACATATTAAACTGTGGTGTCCACATGACCAACTCTCAAACTAGATTTTTTTCTTTTATCTTTGGAGTCTGAGGGCTAGTAGTGTTGATGGGACAAGGTTTAATATGACTAGTAATGAAGTTTCATCTGAAATTTGGAGTTTGAGAGCATTTGGAGCCATAGGAAGGGGCTTAGGATTCACTTGGTGATTTTTTATATTTCGAGAGCATCACAGAAGCGGGTGTAGGGGAATAACTGTTGCTGGGGGTGGACTGTGGCTCTCTTAGTTTCCAGGGAAGAACGAATAGATTTAGTCATCAATTTTTAATGGAGAATTGAGACCTAACGTGCCAGCATCTCTTAATAACCTGCAGGCATTTAAGCAAACACGTTTTATGTTGCCATGGCATTGCAGTTGGACTGCAGTTGCTCACATACCCTACATGTTTAATAATGCATCCCACTTAAGCAGCTGTGGTTCAGAGTCAGTGTTTCCCTTGCTGTTTTGTACTTAAAGCTGTCATTGAAAACTTTGGTTATGATGTTAGTGCCTGGAATATTGGGTCTTTCGTGTAAAGCAGAACAGACTTGAAAGATACAGAATTGCTCTCCCCCTCCTCCTCCTCCCCCTGAAAAACCCGCACCCACTCACCCCACTAATGGAAATTGTGCCATTTGTTTCAGGTGTTCTTTTGCATGTTATGGGAGATGCACTTGGATCTGTGATTGTGGTAATTGCTGCTACAATCTTCCATGTGCTTCCTCTGGAGAGTGCTCCGTGTAATTGGCAGTGCTACATCGATCCAAGCCTGACAATAATTATGGTGTTCATCATCTTGTCTTCTGCATTCCCACTTATCAAGGAGACCTCAATTATTTTGTTGCAGATGGTTCCCAAAGGTGTTAATATGCAACTACTGAGTAAGTCAAGTTTGTTGTTGAAATGCTATTAATTTCAATGATATATTTCAATGTATGTGTTATTTCTGGAATGACTTGTTTGGATTATTTACTCGTAATAGCTCTAAATTCTAAGGAACTGTGAGAAATAGTCACATGCCTGTGTCTTAGCAACATGACTCAAATCTCTCTGGATTAGTTAAAGCATGCATTTTGAGAATGTGGTACTCCAACAATACATCAAAAATACCAGATCTTGAGCTGTTAATGCTTTGTGTGGGGTGTTTGTGAAAGAAACAACATTGAATTACAATATTTCCCAAGCCTACAGTGGCTTCTTCTGAAAGGCTTTGGAAACAGCTTAGAAATTTCCATTAAGGTTGGTTAATTTTGCAGCTCTCTGACATTGTTTGCACCGGTTAATTGTGGGGTACTCTGTTACTTCTGGAATTCCACCATGCTCGGGGCCAGAAGATGTGGTGTCTTGGCCAAAGAAGTGATGTTCTGATGTTACTTCTATGAACAGATGGTGAATTACCATTAGGGAGCCTGAGGAATGGGTAAACCCAAAAGGAAGGGTGACCTGCTCATGTGGTCATCTGGAGGCTTAACTGAAGGCAGCTGGAGTAGACGTATTTCATTAAGTACAGCTCTTCTAAAAAGATAGTTTGGGGATTTCGCACAGTGCTTTTAATGAGAAAAGTAGTAATTAGCCAGTACACCAAAGCTTCTAATGCCTTTCTCTTATGTTTTCCAGCTGAGAGACTAGCTCGTGTTCCAGGGGTTAGCAGCCTTCATGAGGTGCATGTTTGGGAGCTTGCAGGTGGGAAGAATATTGCTACTCTTCATATCAAGTGCCAAACACCTAAAGATTACCAAGATGCTTCTTATAAAATTCGGAAGGTTTTCCACGAAGCAGGGATCCACTCTGTGACCATCCAGCCTGAGTACATTGACCACAAGACCTCCCAGCTACTGTGCAGCTCACCCTGCATCTCAAAAGCTTGTGACTCTCAGCTATGCTGCAGCCAGCGGGAGCCCCACCTGGCTAAAAGTAATGGCTATACTGAGAAAAATGAGAATTGCCTTTCTGCACTGCCTAAAGACAATGGTTCAAGTAAAAACGATATTGAAATCCCCATCGAGCATCCGCTGGCGGAGGATAGTGTTAAAAACGTGAAAAATTGTGACGTGTCTGCTAGCAAATCACAGTTGGGCAGTACACGACTTTAGGCATTACTCTGCGTAATGTTTTCATAGAACAAATGTGTCCTGGCTGGGAAGGGGGTCATCGGTGGTTGTAGCTGAAGTTGGTGAGGCGAAAAGATTTCTGTGCTTTAGCTGTGAACCAAAATACACCTAAAACCCCCTCGTATTTGAAATAAGGATTTGTATTTCCACAAAGGGTGTTGCATTCATCTAAGATTTTTTCTGATACAGCCTAACCCAATTCTTTACCAAACTATATGTGAATTTCTGTTGTCGGAGTGGACAGAGTGTATTGCTGCCTGCACTGGTGCTTGCAGTTAATGGCCAGTGGCACTGGGAATGAGACTCTGGCCTTTTCTGCTGCAGTTGAGCCATTTCCTGAAAGCCCGGTGGCCAGTTAACGATTGTACTGGGCTGAAGTACTGTATATTTATAAAGGACTTCAGTAAAGACACTTTACTGATTCTTAAAACTCATTTTTGCGTAGACAGTTCGTGTTTAACAGTAATGCTTGTGCTTCTGGCCAGTGGGATTTGTGAATGAAATTGAGTATCTAAGAGGGTGGGGAAGCACTCAGGAATTTTGACTTGCGTTTTTCTCTTGACCGACTCCTGTATCTAGGGACAGAGCAGAAGCTGGTCTTGCTTCTCTACTAGTAGTACTGGAGTCCTGGCCTAATCAGATAACTATGCTAAAAAACTGACTTCTTGTCATGAAAGCAAAGAAATACTTAATAATGTTGTCTGTACTGATAATAGCAAATGGAAATTTAGGCAGTCATCCAATTAACTTTTATCTTGTTCACTGTTGTGATTGTACAGTTCGGTCTTATTTTTTTTTTCTCTCCTGACAACAGAAGTTATAACAGCCATGGTCTTAATTCTTCATTGTGCGGATGATTGGAGTATCTTCAACACTGAGTATCTGTCATTATTGATGCTGAATAAATAAGCTAATTAGTGTTGATTATGAACAGTTAAAATTCTGCAGTTCTATTATTAAGACATAATTTAATATAGTATTAATTAAGAAAGTCCCTTTAAAGTTTTATGCTCAGTATTATCACTTAGAGAGAGCTTTAAAAAAATACAGGGATTTTTTTTTCCTAGTTTAGTCTTAATTATTTCATGTTGGTTTGTTTTAAAGGTTTAAGCCCTCCCCTCTGCCCTGCCCTTCCTTCCCCTGCCCAAAGGTGTGTTTCAAAGTGTAGTTACTGAAGCAGTTCCATTATCTTTTTGCTGCTTACTCTGTTTGAAGGCATGCAAGGGCCCTCTAAGGAAAACAAGGTGATGTGCTCTGTCACTAGTGCTGGTTTTAGGTGTGTTCTCCAGGTTTCTAGGAGAGCAGACCCACTACCTAACCTGCATTGAGTGTAGTGCTTAGCCTCATTGGCTGTGCAGATCAGATCCAGAAACTTTCAAATACATTTTTCTGTCGAAAGCAGCCTTTCAATGGTCTGCGTGGTGTGGGCAGGCTATTTTATTCATTGAGACACCGTTATAAAATAGTGGTGTCTTTATGTCAGTGACACCTTAACAGAAAGGGCAAACTGATTTCCTGCCCGGGCTGGGAAGATACCAGGACCTCCTTGTAAGGCTGGCTTGAAAGCAGCCCCCTCCCTTATTAATAAGAACAATTGCGTTAAGTCAATGAATAGTGTTAGGACAAGAGGTAATGGCTTTAAACTGAAAGAAGGTAAATTAGGTTATAGGTAAAGAAGGAATTATTCACTGTGAGGGTGGTGAGACACTGCAGCAGGTTGCCCAGAGAAGTTGTGGAATCCCCCTCCCTGAAGTGTCCAAGGCCAGGCTGGATGGGGCTTTCAGCAACCTGGTCTAGTGGGAGGTGTCCCTGCCCATGGTGGCGGGGGTTGGAACTAGATGATCTTCCAAGTCCCTTCCAACCCAAACCATTCTGTGATTCTGTGAATATTAAAACACACAGCAGGATATTTTGCTGCTTGGAAAATGGTATTTACTGAAGCAGTGACTGCAGTCTTGATAGCATATTTCTAGATTTGTATTTATCCCTTTTGAACAGATTCTTGGGTGAATTAATATATTCTATAGCCTTCCATTACAGGTTTGTATAATATAAATTAAACTATGTGGTAGTATAATCAAAAAGCTTGATCCTCCAGTCTGTCTGATTCTGTTGGCAGCAGCAGAGGTGGAAGCAGCAGTCTCTTGCTTGGCAGTTATTGCACGAATTAATGTAAATCAGGAAGCGTTTTAAGAATTACTCTTGTCTTTTAAAAGCATAAAGCAAGACAGCCCTTTCCTCTGTTCTTTTTGTCCTCTTTTTAATCTATGATGATGTTTAAATGTCGAGGTTTAGATGTGAGTAACAAATATATTTATAGGTTTTTCGAGAACTGGAATAGAAAACTCCCAAAATAATAACAAAGTCTATGGGAGAACTTGCTTCCCAGACATCCTCTAATGCAAGCACCCTTTCATGCATTTGTGTCTTAAATATTCTTTTTTTTTATGTATACATTTCGTTAAATGGTTGAAAGATGGAATGGCAGTATTGTTTACTCTGGAATTAGAGAAAACTAGTATGTGTAATATTGGGGCATTTGACAAAATGGATCATATTTTTCTTTATCCTTCCAGTGTTTGTTAAAACTATGATTATCTATTTTTTAAGCTTTTAAAATATTGTAACCTGAAAATACAATGAAGTAACATTCTTAAACTTTTTTTCATGTCTAGCTGAATGTACTGTAATTGTTGCCTGTGAATAAACAGAAAAAATACCAGGGGTTATAGAAATCTGCATGTCTGGAAAACAAGAAGATTTAAAATTTGCTTTATTACTTAAGCAAACAAAACCAACAGAGCTGTGTTATTGATGGGATGAACCCTGCTATTTCTGGGTAGGGGCTTTTGGGGTATTTGGCTAAGGTTTCTCACCCAGTATCCTTGTCTTCCTTAGAGTCCTGCAAGAAAGTATTTTTCTCCTTTAAGTGTGTCACAGCTAGGCTGTATTGGGTCGCCTCTTTACCTCTGTAGAAGACTCCATTCCAGTCAGCGTGTGCTTTGTATTGGCTTGTTTCCTTTCAGTTCTTGGTATATCTCTTCTGATTCTCTTGAAGTAAGCTTACCTCATTTTGAAATACAGTATATTTCAGTATTTGCCCATATCTGTGGGCCCTTGTTCTAAATTCAGTTTTATAACATATTACACTGTCATAAAATCTCTTTTCTGACCTCTCTATGCTTAATTGCTTTTTTTTTTTTCCCCCTTCCAAATGAGTCATATAAAATTTCTGATGATTGCAGGTTGATTGTTCTACTCTGTCCTCTTCAAGTGGTCCCTTGTGATTACATGGGTATGTCATTTGGGTTCTCTTGTAGTTGTTGCCCCTGTCACTGTAGTAAAGGAAATCTGTTTAAAATACAGGTGACTTCCAGCTGGTTGTCCAGCTTATGTGGTCCTCTCTGATCCATAACCAGTTACACATGGGCTCTAGCTATATGACAACGAAACATTTGCCAGCCTTGCCACATAGCTTTTGGAGTAAAAGTGATAGCTGGAATAAATGAACATGGCATTGAATGCAAAAGCAATTTACTGGCCTTCATCACTCGGGGGCCTTCTCTTAAAGTGAATCAATTTTTTGTCACCTTTTCATATGTGCCAAACAGCTTGGTTGTTAATTTTTGCTTCTTCTGCAACTCGCTAAATGCAGGTCTGGCCTTTGCTCTTCTATGTAAAGAAAAATAGCTGATGTTATTTTTAGGAGCATTGCCTTTGTTTTATCAGGTTTTCAGTTTCCCTTCTCATTCTGTTCTTCAAGCCACATGTTTTCCTCTTAGTGTTTTTCATATTCTTTGTCTCTTCAGTAAAAGCAGTATGGTTTTGCTAGCTTTCTGATCATGATGATGTACCTATAATACAGTTTAGAAATACCTCTTTTATGCACTGCTTTAATTTTTTGCACTCTTATTCAAATTCACCCACTTTATGGTTTTGCTATGTGATACACTTCCCCATTGCAAACCCCATTTTGACCTTGTTTACTTCTTTGTATTCTTTCCCCTTCCCTGACCCAAATGCAATTCTTACTGTCCCGAATGCTCCCTTTTATTCTGAACTTCAAAGGGAATATGCCAGCATGCGAGTTTTTTCCAAAGTGAAGTTCATCATCCGAGGTCTGTGGATGGCTTGATGTGAGCTACTCCAAGGACTATTTTATGTTCTGTGATCTGTGTAGAAGTAGTCATCCTGAGATATATATATATGTATATATATATTTATATACATTTAAATTCTTTATAAAATCTCCACCCGAACTAACTTTTTTTGAGGGTTGGTTCCTAAACCTGAGACTGTATAATGAAATCAGTAGGGTTCATTAGTCATTTATTAACACCTCAGGGGAAAGGTTGGATATCTGATTGGAAAGTAGGTAAAAGGGACATTTCTGAAAAGACAATTCAAAAGCTATGAAGATTTTTATAGGTTGTACTACTTACTCTGCTCTACAGAGGAAGCACTTTCTATGTTAAATACTTTATTTGAACAGTGACACTTTCATATGAGGGTATCACTGTATAAGATTGTTACATTTATGGAGTTGTGTTGCTTGAAAGTTTCCTCCGTCTTTTTTCTGTTTATTTTGTGATTTAAATAATGTGCCAAAATGTAATTTCCATGATTGCTAAATCAATGAATTGTAAATCTCACTGTGGTTTTATTAACTATTAGTGAAAAATTACTCAAAGTTTTATGTACAGCTATATTTTTTTTCAAAATGAAGTTTGAATGTCTTGTAAATAAAGTGTATTTTTAAATAAACCTGTTGCTAAGAGCTTGATGTATGTTCATAATAGGGGGCTTGTGCCAGTTTGGATGCTTTTAAGATATTTGCGTGAGTAAAGCTTGTTCTTAAAGTGCGAGATTGTTAATGCTGCAAATTTTGTTGTCTTTGGGAGAAAAGGACGGACACTCAAATGCTTTTCCTCTGCAAGCAGCCTAGTGTTTCTTAAAGGGGGAGTGAGTTTAGAGCCCGTAAC